TGTAGGCATCAAAGAACAGGAAGGATCCAACAGGCAAGAATGGAATAGCAAGGATAGAGAGGCAGTACAGGTGCTATTGAAGGGGTTACAGATGGAAGGGGCTGAACGAAACATTGAGAAGGTTTTCAGGTTGGGCTGGTACAACAAGGACAGAAACCGACTTGTAAAGGTGGTGTTTACAAACGAAACCACGAAGGAAGATATTCTCGAAAGAAAGAGTCGACTGCAGCATGTGGAGGGATACAAGAAAGTATTCCTGCAGAGGGACAGGACGAAGGAGGAGAGAGCCAGGGCAGCAGAGGCAAGGAGGAAGCGCAGGGAGGAAGAAGCAAACCAGGAAATCACAACCCCCAACACAACAGTCCTAGAGACAACAGGCGAACCCAAAACCAGCATCCCAGCAACACCAGAGGGGAGGGCAGGGGAGGGCAACCCCACCACCCCCCTCTGCATAGAAACCCTCCCTTCCCCTCACCCTACCTGCCCCCACCCAACCCTCCCTCCCCCCCCCCATCCCATTCTTACCCTGTCATCCCTTCCCCATTCCCATCATGTCCCCCTTCCCACCTTTCCCCCCCTGTCCCCCCTCCCTCTTCATCCCATACCCTCCCTATCCCTCCTCCCCCCTCACCCCTTATCCTCCATGTCCCCCCTATCTCTTTAACCCACACCCTACCTGTCCCCCCTTCCATGAAACCCCTACCCCTCACCCCAAACTCTCCTGAAACCCTGCAAACCACCTCACAGATCATCTCACCCACTGAAAAGCTTACCACACCAGCAGAATGCTCGCCAAGAAAGGGACAAGAAAATGAACTGAAGAAAGTGAGCTTCAAGGCAATGTACACTAACATAGATGGAATTACAAATAAAACAAGTGAACTCAGAGAATGGGCACTAGAAGAAAACCCAGACATAATAGCACTCACAGAAACAAAGCTAACAAACACCATAAAAAACGCAGTGTTTCCACAGGGCTACTATGTAGTGAGCAAAGAGAGAGAAGGGAGAGGAGGAGGTGGTGTAGCTTTGCTACTAAGAGAAGGTTGGAGTTTCGAAGAGATGGTAATTCAGAACTGTGAAGGTTTCAGTGACTACATATCAGGCACCATAGCAACTGGAGGACAGAAAATTATAGTAGTAGTCATATATAACCCCCACCGAATGTGAGAAGACCCAGACAAGAATATGATAGAAACAACTTGGCCACCATCAATATAATAGAGAGAGCAGCTTCTGTGGCTAGCAGGAACGGATCCAGGCTACTAATCATAGGAGACTTCAACCATGGAAAGATAGATTGGGGAACAGAGACCCACATGGAGGCCCAGACACATGGAGAGCTAAGCTGCTGGATGTGGCAACAAGAAACTTTCTAAGTCAACACGTCAAGGGACCGACATGAACGAGAGGAGGGGATGAACCAGCCTTGCTTGATCTGATATTTACCCTAAATGAGTCGGATATAAGGGAAGTTAAGTTGGAAGCCCCCTTGGGAATGAGTGATCATAGTGTATTGAGCTTTGAGTACCTGGTTGAGCTAGGAATTATCACCCCCAAAAAAGAACTGGGAAACAAAGGGCTAGCGTACCGAAAGGGAAACTATGAGGAGATAAATAAATTCCTATGGGATATACATTGGGACACACAACTCGGAACAAAGTCCGTACAAGACATGATGGACTATGTCACCCAAAAATGTCAGGAGGCTGTAAGCAGGTTTGTCCCAGCCCAACAGGAAAAAAACAGAGAAGCAAAGGAAGAATCCGTGATTTAATAGGGAATGTATGAAGGCAAAGGAGCTGAACAAAAGGGCATGGAGGAACTTCCGTAATAACAGAACACCAGAAAGTAGAGAGAGATACCAGAGAACCAGGAACGAGTATGTTAGTGTGAGAAGAGCAGCTGAGAAAAGGTATGAAAATGATATAGCAGATAAAGCCAAGACCGAACCCAAGCTACTACACAGTCACATCAGGAGGAAGACAACAGTGAAGGAACAGGTGATGAAACTTAGGGTGGGCGAGGACAGGTACACAGAGAATGACAAAGAGGTGTGTGAAGAACTGAACAAAAGGTTCCAGGAGGTCATTACAATAGAACAGGGAGAAGTCACGGAGCTAGGAGAGGTGGCAGCAAACCAGGTGACCTTGGAAAGGTTCGAAATTACAAGAGATGAGGTCAAGAAGCACCTATTGGAGCTGGATGTGAGAAAAGCTGTTGGGCCAGATGGAATCTCACCATGGGTATTGAAAGAGTGTGCAGGAGCACTTTGCTTGCCACTCTCCACAGTGTATAGTAAGTCACTGGAAACGGGAGACCTACCAGAAGTATGGAAGACTGCTAATGTCGTACCAATATTTAAAAAGGGTGACAGACAAGAGGCACTGAACTACAGGCCAGTGTCCTTAACTTGTATACCATGCAAGGTGATGGAGAAGATTGTGAGAAAAAACCTAGTAACACATCTGGAGAGAAGAGACTTCGTGACAACCCATCAACATGGGTTCAGGGAGGGTAAATCTTGCCTTACGGGCTTGATAGAATTCTATGATCAGGTGACAAAGATTAAGCAAGAAAGAGAAGGATGGGCGGACTGCATTTTTTTGGACTGTCGGAAAGCCTTTGACACAGTACCCCATAAAAGGTTGATGCATAAGCTGGAGTAGGCACGAGTAACTGGTAGGGCGCTCCAGTGGATAAGGGAGTACCTAAGCAATAGGAAGCAGAGAGTTATAGTGAGGGTGAGACCTCAGAATGGCGTGAAGTCACCAGTGGAGTCCCACAGGGCTCTGTACTTGGACCTATCCTGTTTCTGATATACGTAAATGATCTCCCAGAGGGTATAGACTCATTCCTCTCAATGTTTGCTGACGACGCCAAAATTATGAGAAGGATTAAGACAGAGGAGGACAGCTTGAGGCTTCAAGAAGACCTGGACAAGCTGCAGGAATGGTCGAACAAATGGCTGTTAGAGTTCAATCCAAGCAAATGTAATGTAATGAAGATAGGGGTAGGAAGCAGGAGACCAGATACAAGGTATCACTTGGGAGATGAAATACTTCAAGAGTCCGAGAGAGAAAAAGACCTGGGGGTTGATATCACGCCAGACCTGTCCCCTGATGCTCATATCAAGAGGATAACAGCAGCAGCATATGCCAGGTTGGCTAACATAAGAACGGCCTTTAGAAACTTGTGTAAGGAATCTTTCTGAACATTATATACCACATATGTCAGACCAATCCTGGAGTATGCGGCACCAGCATGGAGTCCATATCTAGTCAAGCATAAGACTAAAATGGAAAAAGTTCAAAGGTTTGCCACCAGACTAGTACCCGAGCTGAGAGGTATGAGCTACGAGGAGAGACTACGGGAATTAAACCTCACTTCGTTGGAAGACAGAAGAGTTAGGGGAGACATGATCACCACATTCAAGATCCTCAAGGGAATTGACAGGGTTGATAAAGACAGGCTGTTTAACACAAGGGGCACACGCACTAGGGGACACAGGTGGAAACTGAGTGCCCAAATGAGCCACAGAGATATTAGAAAGAACTTTTTTAGTGTCAGAGTGGTTGACAAATGGAATGCATTAGGAAGTAATGTGGTGGAGGCTGACTCCATACACAGTTTCAAGTGTAGATATGATAGAGCCCAGTAGGCTCAGGAACCTGTACACCTGTTGATTGACCGTTGAGAGGCGGGACCAAAGAGCCAGAGCTCAACCCCCGCAAGCACAACTAGGTGAGTACAACTAGGTGAGTACGCACACACACACACACTGAGAGACACACGTGTTAGTGGGGTCTGCGGAGAAACGTCAAATAGTCGGGACAGTGAAGAAGTATAAGGCTATATCATAGTATTTGGCCTCTCGCAGTGTGTAGCAAACAGGGTGCAACGTATCATAGGGAAATCGCAAGTGATAGAGCAAAGAAACCAACATGGAGCTTGTGGCTACACCTGTGCATATACAATGTGAAACGACCGCGTGGAGCGACGCGCCATAGAACTTGCCTCGTTGTGCTTGTATGGGTTGACTGGTAAGTGCCTCTCTATAAAGTCTTCAACAGTGTAAAAGGTTTATGTAATATCATATAGTAGTCACATATAATGCATTTCATTCGATAATAGAACAGTAATCTTGATAGATTGATAGAGAATGAGTTTGGAACCTCACTGTGAGCTTAATTGGGAACTGAATTGTACTGTTAATCCCTACACATACACAAGTCAGGGTAAGAAACTTGTCACATATCAGTAAAAAGTGAAGAATTAGCAACCACCTGACCTCTCCACTCCCAGTACCCTCCCAAAAACACCGCCCTCCCCTTCCCTCCCTACACGTCAACTGGCTACCATAGATTGGGTGACATACAATCTTCGTCCTACCCGACCCCACCCCTCCCTCCCTCTCTCTCACGCCCTCTCTGTTTCTCTTCCTCTCTCTTCCTCTCTCTCTCTCTCTCTCTCTCTCTCTCTCTCTCTCTCTCTCTCTCTCTCTCTCTCTCTCTCTCTCTCTCTCTCTCTCTCTCTCTCTCTCTCTCTCTCTCTCTCTCTCTCTCTCTCTCTCTCTCGCCTCTCTCTCCTCTCTCCTCCCCCTCCTGTCTTGCCCTCTCCCTGTCTTGCCCTCCCTTTCGCCCTCTCCCTCCCTTTCGCCCTCTCCCCCCCCCTCTCGCCCTCTCTCCCTGTCTTGCCCTCCCTCTCTCTCTCTCTCTTGCTCTCTCTCTCTCTTGCTCTCTCTCTCTCTTGCTCTGTCTCTCTCTCTTGCTCTCTCACTTTGCTCTCTATCTTTCTCTCTCTCTCTCTCTCTCTCTCTCTCTCTCTCTCTCTCTCTCTCTCTCTCTCTCTCTCTCTCTCTCTCTCTCTCTCTCTCTCTCTCTCTCTCTCTCTCTCTCTCTCCCCTTCCACTATGATATCAAAACAGGGAAAATCAAAAAGTTTTAATATCAGGGAAAGGGACAAGAAGGCAGGAGGATGCACCAGGAACACAGGGAATAGTCAAAGTGAGTAAATGAAGGAAGTGTTATCCCATGTTTGGGAGCAATTCAGGAAGGAGATACATGAAATGAAGAATACAATTAGAAACCTGCAAAGTGAGCTGACAGTAGCAAAGAATGAGATCAAATCCCTCACAGAGAAACATAATGAGACTGGGCATCAGATAATCTTCCAAAGTGAAGATGTAATTGGCACATTGGAAGGAAAGACCTCTTTTACCTGAAATATTTGTGGAAATACTGAGGAACAGCACAGAAGCAATGGCCACAGTGAGGGAGGTAGCCATACAAGCAGCTACCTCACAGGATTCAGTAAGGTGCACCAGTCAGCTGCTGGAAAGAAAAAGATCAATTATAGCTGTAGGCATCAAAGAACAGGAAAGATCCAATTGGCAAGAATGGAATAGCAAAGACACAGGCAGCAAATGGGATACTAAAGGGGTTAAAGATGGAAGGGGCTGAACAAAACATTGAGAAGTTTTTCAGGTTAGGCTGGTACAACAAGGACAGAAACCTCTTGGTGAAGATAGTGTTTGCAAATGAGACTACGAAGGAGGTTATTCTAGAAAGGAAGAGTCATCTGCAGTATGTGAAGAAAGACAAAAAATTATTCCTCCAGAGGGACAGGACAAAAGAGGAGAGCCAGGGCGTCAGAGGCCAAGAAGAAGCGCAGGGAGAGAAGAGTAAACCAGGAAATCACAGCCCCCAACAGAACAGTCCTAGAGACGAGAGGGGAACCCACAACCAACATCCCAGTAACACCAGAGGGGAACCCACAACCAACATCCCAGTAACACCAGAGGGGAACCCACAACCAACATACCAGTAACACCAGAGGGGAACCCACAACCAACATACCAGTAACACCAGAGGGGAACCCACAACCAACATACCAGTAACACCAGAGGGGAACCCACAACCAACATACCAGTAACACCAGAGGGGAACCCACAACCAACATACCAGTAACACCAGAGGGCAACCCACAACCAACATACCAGTAACACCAGAGGGCAACCCACAACCAACATACCAGTAACACCAGAGGGGAGGCCAACACCGCCACCCTCCTCTGCATAGAAACCCTCCCTACCCCTCACCCTAACTGCCCCCACTAAAATGCTCACTTAACCCAACCCTTGCTCCCTCCCTCCCACACCCCATTCCGACCCCTGTCACCCATCCCCCATTTCCACCATGTCCCCCCTCCCCACATATCCTCCCTGCCCCCCACTACCTCCACAACAACCCATACCTACTTGTCCTCCCTTCCCTTTAACCCCTACCCCACCCAAATATCCACTGAGGCCCTGTTAACCACCTCACAGATCTTCACACCTATTGAACAGCTTCCTCCATCAGCAGAACGCTCACCAAGAAGGGGACAAAAGAATGAACAGAAGAAAGTGAGCTTCAAAGCAATGTACACTAACATAGATGGGATTATGTATAAAACAAGTGAACTTGAAGAATGGGCACTAGAAGAAAACCCAGACATAATAGCACTCACAGAAACAAAGCTAACCAAAACCATAACTAATGCAGTGTTTCCACAGGATTACTATGTAGTGAGGAAAGAGAGAGAGAAGGAAAAGGAGGAGGTCATGTCACTTTGCTGATAAGAAAAGACTTGAGTTTTGAAGAGATGGTGTTCAGGGCTGTGAAGATTTCAGTGACTACATAGCGGGTACCATAGCAATTGGAGGAAAAAAAAATATTGTAGTAGTCATTTATAACCCCCCACCAAACGACAGAAGACCCAGACAGGAATATGATAGAAACAACATGGTCACCAGCAATACAATAGAGAGAGCCGCTTCTGTAGCTAGCAGGAAAGGATCCAGACTCATGAGAGACTTCAACCATGGGAAGAGAGATTGGGAAAACAGAGACCCACACGGAGGACTGGACACATGGAGAGCTAAGCTGCTGGACGTAGCATCAAGAAACTTTCGCTCAGTAAGAATTCAGCATCGAGTTCTCCGTTAAACAGAGTGGTGTCTGGTAACAACTCGGCATTGAGTTCTCCGTTAAACAGAGTGGTGTCTGGTAACAACTCGGCATTGAGTCCTCCGTTAAACAGAGTGGTGTCTGGTAACGACTCAGCATTGAGTCCTCCATTAAAATATTTGCCAAAAATCCAGATTTTATCAAATTTTGGGGGGACTAGATTTAAAATGCGCGCCAAAGCGCCACGCACCACTTTTGTTGGGCCATGTAGCTCCCAAGTGGCTCGGCTCACGCCGTAGGCGGGTGGGCGTCTGGGTACACATTGTGGGTAACACTTGGCCTGTCTTCAACTTGTCAGCGGGTGGAGCGTGACCACGCTTTTTTATTTTATATGCATATATTTCTTCAGAGAATTCTATTGCAAACCCATTGATACCAAAATGAAAGACCTAGGACGAAAATTGAGATGACCAAAGTGAAAAGAGTATACACATTATATTGCTATTGCTCGCTCCCGAGTCACTCACTCGCACTTTCTCTGTTTTTTTCTGCGGGTGGTACGCCGGGCTTTTGGACTTTATATGCATTTAATCGTGTAGAGACGTCTATTGCGAACACATTGATATCAAATTGTAAAACCTAGGATGAGAATTGAGATACAAAGTTGAAAAGAGTAGACACTTTTCAGTATTACTACACTCTCTAATGGACGGCACTCCTTCATGTTCTCATCACCTGCTTTCATCACGTCGCCGAGTGGAGCGCGCCACGGTTTTTGACATTATACGTATATACTCCTGTTGGGAATTTTATTGCGAACACATTGATACCAAAATGAAAGACCTAGGATGAAAATTGAGGTAACCAAAGTGAAAGGAGTGTACACATTTTATTGCTCTTGTGTGCTCCCGGGTAACTTTCTCTCACTTTCTCTGTTTGCTGCGGGTGATAGGCCGGGTTTTTTTAGTTTATATGCTTTTAGTCCTGTACAACATTCTATTGCGAACATATTCATACAAAATTGAAAAACGTAGTACGAGAATTAAGGTGACAAAGTTGAAAAGAATATATACTTTTCAGTATTATCGGGCGCTCCCGCAGAACGTCCAAAACTACTAGGGTAGGAGAAATGCTCGTTTGCTCATGGCGCGAAAGTGTACAGGACATGTTTGAAAGCAAAGAAACTGAACAAAAGGGCGTGGAGGATCTTCCGAAATATCAGAATACCAGACAGTAGAGAGAGATACCAGAGAACCTGGAACGAGTATGTAAGGGTGAGAGCTGAGTAAAAGTTTTAAAATGACATAGCTAATAAAGCCAAGACCGAACCAAAGCTACTACACTGTCTAATCAGAAGGAAAACATTAGTGTGGGAACAGGTGATGAAATTTAGAACAGGTGAGGACAGGTACACAGAGAACGACAAAGAGGTGTGTAAAGAACTCAACAAAAGGTTCCAGGAAGTCTCCACAATAGAACAAGGAGAGGTGACTGCGCTAGGAGAGAGGGGCAGTAAACCTGGCGACCTTGGAAAGGTTCGAAATTACAGGAGATGAGGTCAAGCGGTACCTGTTGCATCTGGACGTGAGAAAATCTGTTGGCCTGGTCGGAATCGCACCATGGGTATTGAAAGAATGTGCAGGAGCGCTTTGATTGCCACTCTCCATAGTTTATAATAGGTCAATGGAAATGGGAGACCTACCAGAAATATGGAAGACAGCGAATGTAGTCCTAATATACAAAAAGGGTGACAGACAAGAGGCACTGAACTACAGGCCAGTGTCCTTAACTTGTATACCATGCAATGTGATGGAGAAGATCGTGAGAAAAAAACTAGTAAAACATCTGGAGTGAAGAGACTGTGTTACAACCCATCAACATGGGTTCAGGGAGGGTAAATCTTGCCTTTCAGATTTAATAGTAATCTTTGATCAGGTGACAAAGATTAAGCAAGAATGAGAAGGATGGGCAAACTACATTTTTTTGGACTGTCTGAAAGCCTTTGGCACACTGCCTCATAAAAGGCTGATGCATAACCTGGAGAAACAAACAGGAGTAACTGGTAGGACGCTTCAGTGGAGTCCCACAGGGCTCCGTACTCGGACCTATCTTGTTTCTGATATTCACAAACAATCTCCCAGTGGGTATAGACTCATTCCTCTCAATGTTTGCTGACGACACCAAAATTATGAGAGGAATTAAGACAGAGGAGGACAGCTTGAGGCTTCAAGAAGACCTGGACAAGCTGCTGGAATGGTCGAACAAATGCTTGATAGAGGTCAACCTAAGAAAATGCAATACACTGCAGATAGGTGTAGGAAGCAGGAGACCAGATACAAGGGATCATTTGGGACATGAAATACTTCAAGAGTCAGAGAGAGAGAAAGACCAGGAGGTTGATATCATGCCTGATCAGTCCCCTGAAGCTCATATCAAGAGGATAACATCAGCGGCATATGCCAGGTTCGCTAACATAAGAACGGCCTTTAGAAACTTGTGTAAGGAATCTTTCAGAACTTTGTATACCACATATGTCAGACCAATCCTTGAGTTTGCGGCTCCAGCATGGAGTCCATATCTAGTGAAGCATAAGACTATACTGGAAAAGGTTCAAAGGTTTGTCACCAGACTAGTACCCGAACTGAGGGGTATGAGCTACGAGGAGAGACTACGGGAATTAACCCTCACGTCACTGGGAGACAGAAGAGTTGGAGGGGACATGATCACCACGTACAAGATTCTCAGAGAAATTGATAGGGTAGATAAAGACAGGCTATTTACCACAAGGGGCACACGCACTAGGGGACAAAGGTGGAAACTGAGTGCCCAAAGGAGCCATAGAGATGTTAGAAATAATTTTTTCAGTGTCAGAGTAGTAGACAAATTGAATGCATTAGAAACTGATGTGGTGGATGCTGACTCCATACACAGTTTCAAGTGTAGAAATGATAGAGCCCAATAGGCTCAAGAACCTGTACACCAGTTGATTGACAGTTGAGAGGCGGGAACAAAGAGCCAGAGCTCAACCCCCACAAGCACAATTAGGTAAG